GTTACGACGCACTAGTAGAAGTTGATTTCGTCGAATTTGGAGTTGAAATGCTTAAATTACAGTAGAATTTGTGTTGAGAATTTCTATTGTAGTGCACTGTGTATTGTTTACAGTGAAGAAAAGTTGAAGAGTTTGAGCTTAGCTATTTGAATGAAAAGCATGATCATTATTTGTTAAGTTTTGCTTGAATAACATGTCTAAATATTCATTGTGAGTTATTGAGAATTTTTTCAAGAATATGAGATATTTGGTTTGTACAGTGCATGAACTTATTTGCTTAGAGTGAAGTGAAATACTAGAGCATGAAGTTTATTTTTGAGTTCAAAGAGCATGATCAATACTTGTTAAGTATTTGCTAAGAAGTTTTGCTAAATATTAAGTGATAAGCATGAAGTAGCACTTTGTTGGTTTAAATCACAGTGAAAGAGAAGTTAAAGCATTATTTACAATAAAGAGCATGTTTAGCATATCATGAACTAAAGTGCATTAGTGACTTTAAGTAAGACTAAGATCCATTTCAAAAATCTATATCTATTTTGGAAAATCATTATCTAGTTGCATTGAGAAGTTGCAAGATATTTGATTTCCAATTTGTGAGAAAAGAGAATTGTTGAGAAACTATGTATATGAGATTGCATAAGCAGATTTGTTGCATAAGAAAGAAGTGCATGAGTTATATCTATATGTATCTAGTGTGAGTGATCCGAGGTTTTGGAGGCCCGTTTGAACTATGTCCTTTCGGAGGAAAAGAGAAAGAAAGAAAGTTGAGAAAGAAATGGACATTGTGATTCGATGTGAAGTAACGAGGTCGATATTCCCGAGTTACTAGGTTGGATACTACCCGCAGGGCTTGGAATCCCGGTTAGGGGGTGTGCACACTGACAAGTACGATACCTGATTCCACAGAGTTTGAGAAAAGAACCAAGAGAGTGGTTCTATGGGCGAGATGAGTATTAGGCCGGCTAGATGCCGAGCCCAGATAGGTCTGTTCACATTATGGTGAAGTTCCTACCTCGCCCACGAGTAAAAGTAAAGAAAGAAAGAAAGAAAGAAAGTGAGTCAAGATACTCAAGTGAAAGAAGAGAAAAGCGAGTCATTGTGACTCTACATAAACTTCCACTGAACAAGTGTTCCTTGTTACAAAAGAGAGAGTGTATATGTATATCTATCTATACTTATACTAAAACATCATATTCATCTTATTGCATGATTATATGAGTTGCACGTGTTGCATGAAAGTATGAGAAGAAACATGACTTTATATTGTGTATCTATACTTATACTAAAACATCATCTTCATCTTATTGCATGAAAGTATGAGAAAAAACATGAATTTTTATTGTTTATCTTGATAGCATGAGATTGCTTGTTAAAGTTTAAGTGTATCCCTAACTATATTACAATGTAGTATCTGTTGTCTCAACCTACTGGAGCACAAAGAGGTTAATAATGCCTCTATTGAGGCTCGAACTCACAACCTCTCATATGAAAGTCCAACCCGGGTGCCATCTGAGCACAAGGTGCTTGGCTTCAACAAATCTTTTATATTGAGAGAAAATACCAAAGACATCTGACTTTTTTCTTAGAGGATACCACTATATGTATTTGGTGTAAAAATCTACAAAAATAACATAATATAGGTATCCATCAACAAATTTTTGAGTGGTTTCCCAAACATCTGTATAAATAAGCTGAAGAGGTTTTGTACTGACCATAGAGTTATCAAAAAATGGAAGCTTGTGACTTTTATTAATGTTACATGAAGTATAGGAAAAATTATTGAGCGCAAGGGAATCAAATGAAATACTAAGACGATTAGGAATATGCCTTAGAGTTTTTTTTTTTTACGGGTGCCCGAAGCGATGATGCCAATCTAGTGTGGAAGCTGCAACATTTAATTGTGGATGTGTAGACATAGAAACACAATAAACATTATGATTGTTTTCCCCGTTGAGTAACGGGGCCCCCATCACGAGATCCTTCACAAGGAAACAAGATGGAAAATTCAACCGAAACTTTGTTAGTTTTACAAAGCTGAGAAACATAAACAAGATTTTTTATTTTTTTTGTAATTTAGGAACACTCCAGACAATGATAGATCACGACTATTGGTAGGAAAAGTAGTATGACCAGTGTGAGAAATGTTAAGGATTTTACCATCACCCAATAAGATTTCATCCGGACCACCATAATCTCAAAAATTCTGTAGGGAAGCAAGATTTGATGTTGCATGATGAGATGCGCCACTATCAAATAGCCATTGAGTAGAATCAACTGGTGTTGTTGCGGTAGTGGAATTAATAACAGGAGTCTGAGCAGTATTGAATGCCTGAATGTTATCCAGTCTAACATTGTTCTCTCGCAAAAAGCGTGCAAGTTTCCTGCAAACACGAGTTTCATGCCCAGAGTTGTGACAAAAACGACAGACCTTACCATTCCGATCTCCACTGGTAGGAAAACGACTTTGATTGCCAGCAGGCCGCCAATTGGAGTTAGACATATTATTTGTTTTTGGGCCAGAAAAAGACCTCCCATTCTGGAAATTCTTCGGCCTATTTCGTTGTGCTACATTCGCCGTGGCCAAAAGCGTTTGTTGCATCTCTTCATTACTCTTCATACGACGCTCATAGTCTAGTAAAATCTCACGGAGCGCCAAAAAGGAGATATGTGTTTCTCTTGCATGGATTGCTGATGTGACCGAATGGAAGTCATCTCCTATTTGGGACAAGGTATGTGCAACTAGGTCCTCATCTAAGACCGGAGCTTGAACCAAGGCTAGGTTGTCAGCAAGTGTTTACATCTCTTGTAGATAGTCAGAGATAGATTTTGATCCACGAGGATTGTTTGCAAGTTTGGACTTCAAAGATATGACACGACCACGAGAAGCATTGGCGAAACTTGCTGTTAATTTCTCCCAAGCATTTACAGCAGTAGTAGCTGAGGCGAGTATTGGTTGAATGGTGTCCGAGCAACTCCCAGGAGTGCACTAAGAAGAATTTGATCTTGGTGATACCATACTTGATAGGCAGGATTCGGGTTCGTACGTGCCGTATCCAAAAATGCCGTAGGAGCTGCGGTTGTTCCGTCAACGTAATTGGCAAGACCAAGTCCTATGAGCGTAGCGTAAACTTGATTACGCCAGACCGAGAAGTTGGTAGAAGTAATTTTAATAGGGAAATTTGTTGGTGCTGATAGTGTAATGATAAAAGTGTCATTAGTGATTGCCATGAGATCACACAGGGAAGGAAAGGGAAAAAAAAATTACTCGTTTGAGTATATTAGGCTCTTGATACCATATGAAGGTTTGAAACGTAATGTATATTGAAAGAGAACAATACAGTAGAATATATATAGCTATACCCCAGGATTCTAAGGGAAGTTATAATAGACTACAGGCTCAGTTTAAAACTAACAGATAAAAAAAGAGTAGGACAACAGTAGATAAATAATACAATTATAACTAATCATTAATAAGTATAATGGTCACACCTTACATGACACTTAGGGGGGGTTTGGTTGGGTTTATATTAGATAACTAGGGTTATATTAGGTTAGTTATATAACATGCCTTTGTTTGGTTGAGGTTATACAATATTCCCTTGGAATCTAATATCACCTCCACGTCAGATTTTTTTTCTTTTTATGAAGGAATGTGATTCCCTTGTCAATCTTAGGTTATTTTGGATTCCCTTGGCCATTTTACATTGTTTGCCCCGCACCCTCCACGCTCCACTCTGTCTCAGCGACTTTGTCTTCATCTTTCTTCTATAGGATTTCAGTCTACGAACCAAAGTAATCACCTTTCATTTTCATTTCTAGATCCATCAACAAATCAATTTTCAGTTTTTAATTCTAGATTCCCTTGCAGAAAGCCAGAAACGCAGACAACTCGCACTCTTCATCTTTTCCAACTCTCAATTTAGGGTTCCTATTTTCTCAATCTCACAGGTAATACTCACATCACTTTCATCTTTTGTTTCTTATTTCTTCATAAATTTTAGGATTATGCTAGAATTTCAAAAATACCATTACTATTTTAAAACTAATTTTGCCTGAGGGAGAAGGTTTCTTCAATTTTCAATTTCTTCATTTGATTTCTATTGGAATCTTGTATTTATCTTTGTGTTTAGTTATCATCTTTTTCATTCGTCTTCTCACACTGTTCGTGCTTTTTTTTTTTGGTTTATCTTTCATTGGTTGAGTCGGCCTATCTAATAGTGATTGAGTCCAGGACGACCATTTTTATCTGGCTTGGTTGAGTCTAGCATGGCCAAACAATTGTTTTGCAGGTTTCTCTATAGTTGTAGGTAAATTTCCTCTGAGGAGGTTGTTTGTTTGTTCTAAGACAGAATAAGAAGTAGCACATGGGAGAAAGAAGAAGGACACATTTTTAGGAATCTAAAATGAAAATTCAATTACTGCCCTACATCACTTAATAAGTATCGAAAATAGGAGGAGAAAAGCTATAGAAGAACTAGTATGCATAGTTATGTAGGGATACAATTGTATCAAAATGTGATGGTCAAAATCAATATTCAATATACAATGCTATATAATTCTATATAGTAATACACTCCTGCTTGCTGCCATTTATATGTTCAATTTCTATATGAAAGCATGCTGACATAAATATAGAAAAAAGCAGTGAAGTTATCCCCAGAAATTGAACTTTTTTTCCTAGGTTAAAAACAATGTTCTTACTTTTCCCATTGAATTCTCTATTTTGTGCTCTTAAGCATCAAATTATTTCTCCAAATTTGTGCCTAAAGTTTCAAGTGATTTTACTATTAAATTTGTGATTTACTGGGGGGTTAATATATAAAAAAATTGAGGGTGATTTACTAGAAATATTCAATGGTTTTTAAGTTGTCTTCTTGCTGTCATTTAGATGTTCAAATTCTGTATTGATATTAGTTGAAGTTATTATTTGTATTTGATTTTATTCCAACTATATGTTGCACGGTAATGAACCTAAAATAATGAAATTATTTGATTTTTTTAATGAAATTATTTATAGCAATTAAATATTAGTTTAATTTGTTACACATTTCATTCTTATAGGGTGGGTGATATGGCTCGGTTGCCATTAAGGCAAAAGATGAGATTGCAAGTTGTTGTCTTTATTTTGCACATAAGGATCATGAAAAGCATGTTTAATATGCTTATGTTTCTTGCTATGACATTAGTACTTAGACGAAGAAAGTTTAGGAGAACTTTGACATATGCCGATCAAACAGCATCTAGACATAATATTAGATCTTTGAATTTACAAAAAATGGTCTTTGAAAGTGATGTGCAATGTGTTGATAATTGTATAATGGATAGGAGAACTTTAGCTAAATTATGTGATTTGCTAAGGACTCATGGTAACTTGAAAGATAGTAGGAATGCAACAATCGATGAGATGGTGATTTCTTTTCTTCATATAGTTGCACATAATATAAAGAACAGAGTACTTAAACGTCAAACAGCTAGATCTGGTGAGACTATTAGTAGACAATTTCATGCTGTTTTGAACTCTATTTTGAGACTACACAACATGCTCCTTAGAAAACCAGAACCGATACCCGATAATTCAACCTATGAGAGGTGGAAGTGGTTTAAGGTACCCCTATACTCTTTTTTTTTTTTTTTAAAGTAAATTTATTATCTAATTATAACTAAATCGTTTATTAACAAATGTTTATATTTCGTTGAGATTCAGGGTTGCTTGGGTGCATTAGATGGAACCTTTATAAAAGTGAATGTTGAAACAGTTGACAGACCTAGGTATCGAACCAGAAAAGGTGAAATTGCCACAAATGTCTTAGGTGCTTGCACACCAGATATGCAATTCATCTATGTATTGCCAGGTTGGGAAGGATCTGCAGCAGATGGTAGAATTTTTAGGGATGCTATTAGTAGAATGAATGGTTTAAAGGTTCCTCTAGGTAATAATTTTAAAAAATATAAATATCATAAGATTTTAATTAATGAAAATATTACCTTAGGTATTAATAAATTTCTTAAATTGAAATATGTATAGGAAATTACTACTTGTGTGATGCTGGATATACAAATGGGAATAGATATTTAGCACCATATAGAGGTCAACGGTACCACTTAAATGAATGGAGGCAAGGTTATCAACCTACAACAGCTAAGGAATATTTCAACGTGAAACACTCTCAAGCAAGAAATTGCATTGAGAGGTGCTTTGGCATATTAAAGGCTAGATGGGCAATCTTAAGAGACAAGTTGTTTTATCCAGTTAAAACTCAATGTAGGATCATTTCTGCTTGCTGCATTCTCCACAATTTCATTAGGTCAGAAATGCATATTGATCCTATAGATATTGAAGTTGGTCAAAATGAGTGCAATAATTTTCAATCTGAAGAAGATGATGAAGACTTGATAAGGCGTTGTGAAACTAGTCATGCTTGGACTGAATGGAGAGACAAGCTTGCACATGAGATGTTTACTACTTGGCAGACTGAACAACATTGATTTTCTTCTAGAAATACAACTTTTTGTTATCATTTTAGTTGTAATTGAAGAAAAATTGCAAACTGAATTTTATTTTATATGCATTGCTGTATTTTTTAGGTATTCTAAACTGAAATTTATTTGATATTTATTGCTGTATTTTTGAAGTATTCCAAACTGAATTTTATTTGATATTTTGTTTCATTCAATAGTTCTCTTGCTATATTTTGATATGCTAATTACATATTACTAAAGTATGTGTTGTATTCGATTTGTTGTTATTGTTTGGTTTTATTTTTAAAGTGGTAAGGGAAGGGAAAAATACTGCAATAAGAAAAAAGAATTCTACAACTAAGAGACAATGGACAAAACAAAGATGCAGCACTAGTCGATTGCCTTGTTGAAATAGCAAACGACCCCACGTTAAAGGGAGAAAATGGATTCAAGACAGGATATTTGTTGCGCTTGGAAAAGATGCTACATCTAAGGTGTCTAGGAACAAATATCAAGGCAACCCCCCACATTGAATCTAGGTATAAGCTATTGAGGATGCATTTCCTTGCCATTCAAGAGATGCTTAACAAAGGTAGTGGATTCGGCTGAAATGATGTTGAGAAATGTGTTACTATCAGCAAAGATGTCTTTGATGAATGGGTTAAAGTTAAGTGAAATCTAAATCATTTCAATTTGCTTACCTAAAATTGCTTACGTTGAGAAATGTGGCACAATTGCTGTTAACTAATTTATCTTTCCTTTTTATTTTATTTTAGAGTCACCCTAATGCAGCTGGTTTAAGAAACAAAGAATTTCCTCACCTTGATAGCTTGATGCATGTTTGGGGAAGTGATTATGCAATAGGAACTGCTACAGAAATTCCAGCGGATGCAGTGGAGGAAATAGAGAAAGACAAAGATGATGAAGTTGATCTTACTGATGGTAATCATGAGGAATGGGAGGAGGAAAGAGGAGAAAAAGAAGTTGATCAAACTGAGTCATCTGTTTGCCCATCTACTAAAATCAATCAAGGCAAAAAAC